TTTGATGTCCTTTTATCTGGGCGGTTCTGATTGCACTTCAGACTGAGAACCATCATTTCAGATGCTCTGGGGCAGGGCTCTTGTGGCGGATTCAGTGGAATCGTGCACAGAGGCCCTGATGCATAAGAGGTGCTTGTCTTGTTTTGGGATCCCCCAGAAGCAGGCCCTGAGACAAGGATACACATACACAAGTTTGTCTGGGGTTTCTCAGGGCAGTGGCAGTGGAGTGAGGCAGGGGAGGGAAGGAACTTGTTCTTGAGTGGGTTTCTACTGCGGGTGGAACTGTGTGTGTCTTATGGTCTCAGGGTTTCAGATAAAAGATCGTATAGGTCCCGTGTCTTCGGTCACGCTGTAAAGTATATTTCCTACTGTAATTTGTGTTACAAAAAAAAATGTGACAGCCACTGTCCTTGTGATCCCGTAGCCTCTCTCACTGCTCTCCATCCTCTTAAGAGCTGGCATTTTACGGTTAACGAAACATCAGCCCCTTGAGTGTCACAACACGATGGACCCATTTCACAGATGAGAAGGCCGAGACTCACTGAGCCTCTGTGGCCTGTCTGGAATCCCCCAACTGCGAGGGAGGGTGCCAGGTGGCTCCCTGGCTGGTTGCCCAACAGACTGTCCTCTCTCCCCTCGGGTCCTTGAAGCTGAGCTCAACACCATTGCCCCCATCATCTCCAACTTCTTCCTGTGCTCCTACGCCCTCATCAACTTCAGCTGTTTCCACGCCTCCATCACCAACTCGCCCGGTAAGCAGCCCCCTCCACCCTTCTGTGGGAGGAAGCACCTGGGGCGGGGGCATGGGTGGGGGAGTGGAAGGCGTGATGCAGGTGGGCAGACCAGAGTCACCTCCCAAATCAAAACCATCAAGGAACCATTGAAATCATCATCATAGTAGCTATCCTTTCTCAAGCACGGACAGTGTCCCCTGTATGTGGATTCATACACTGTTTCCAGGGTGCAGAGATTTTTCTAGTGCCTTCCTGCACTAATCTTACAGGAGTCAGGAGTCTGACTCCCCAGAAGAGGAAGAGAATGGCCCAAAGTCACAGAGAGGGTTGCTGTAGGTTGTTTACTCCACAGCTCTTGGGGTGCCGCCTGTTTGCATCATCGATTTCTATGTTTGTCCTGAAAAACTTCTAGCAGATGGCAGTAAAGAGTCTCGAGAAAACCTTTTTCTTCTTATTATTAGGCCCCAAGTCCCCAGTGGGCTGGTCGTCAGGCCACCTCTGCCTTAGACTGGGGGCTGTGGTGCCCCACAGTCGTGCCGTGGGGCAGCTGTCAGTAGTGGTGGGCCGGGCACGGCCCGGTGGCATGGAGCCCCGCAGAACCACATCCTTCCTCGTCCTCTCACCCCCTTGGCTCCCCGGGAGACACGGGAGCCGGTGCTGTTGCTGACGCGTGGCCGTATTTGGCCAGAGCTGGATGCCTCCTCCTTGGAGTAGCCTGACGTGGCCAAGTGCCAGCCGAGGCGGGCGGGCGGTCCTCGCCGGAGCCTCCAGGCCCAGCCCAGGAGACCCGGGTGGTGGGCACAGCCCGGGATCCCGGCTCTGGGCTCTGCTGGTGTTGCCACCCAGGCCCTGCCCCAGCAGCACCGGCCCAGGAGGAGGCTCGAGTGTGACCTGTGTCCCCCGCCCAGGGTGGAGACCCTCGTTCCGGTACTACAGCAAGTGGACGGCGCTGTTCGGGGCGGTCATCTCTGTGGTCATCATGTTCCTTCTCACCTGGTGGGCAGCCCTCATCGCCATCGGCGTTGTTCTCTTCCTCCTGCTCTACGTGATCTACAAGAAGCCAGGTGTGCGGTCTCAGGCTGCCCAGGGGCCCAGGGGCCCCTTCTCCCCCTGAGGGTGCCAAGCACGCCATCGTGCCCTTCGGCCCGGCTGGAGGGCCTGTGTCAGGCTCTGTGCTCTCAAGGGCCCTGCTCTGACCCTCCAGCCTCATCCCTCCCAGTGGGGTGAGAAGCCTACGGGAAATGTGTCTGCTCAGAACCCACATCTCTGGGTCCGGACCACCCCCGCCGGCACCCAGGACCCAGGAATTGCCCGCCCAGGTCCATCCTCTTGAAAAGGCCGGCCTGCTGGTGTGCACACACAGGACTGCGGGTGGCCAGGGGCTGGCTGACCGCAGGGCAGGTGGACACAGCGTGGTGCCCACATACGCGCAAGTGCGGATCCAGGGGTGACAGTGGTCTGGGGACAGGATGCAGCAATCCGGGAAGGCCTGGAATTCTAAATTTCAACCTGATTTTCCAGGTCGTTGTCTGCTTGTCAAGGGAGGAGAATATTTTATAGAGTTTGATCCTATGAAGTATAACTTTTAAATATGTAGCCATATGACAATGTGCAAACATCAGGAAGAGATCTGTAGGCTGTCCACCCACCAGCCAGCCCAGCTCCCGTGGTGCTCGATTCCTAAAGAAGGTCAACGTCCCCTCCCTTGGCACGTCTGGCTTCTCCCGGGGATTTCTAATCTTGTGCTCACCCCTCCTGCTCAGAGGTGAACTGGGGCTCCTCGGTTCAGGCCGGCTCCTACAACTTGGCCCTGAGCTACTCGGTGGGCCTCAACAAGGTGGAGGATCACATCAAGAACTACCGGTGAGCAAAGCCATGTCCCTGCTCTGGGAGGCTCCAGGCCAAGACCCGTGCCCCTGCCCCAGGGAAAACCCAGGGTGGGCGCGGTCCTTGCTCAGAGAGGGAACAGAGGTGGAGGAGAACCGCCCTGCGGGGAGGAGACGAGGTTGACATTGCTCAGTGGGGACCAAGCAAGTCTAGTGACCTCTCTGTACCTGAGTTTCCACAGCAGGATCTGCTCTTTGAAATGCAGAGGGCTCTAGAAGGGCGATGGGGTGTTGCCATCCCTGCCACAGGTGTCCGTCAGGCTGACTATGACGAACCTCTCCTTAGAGGGAGACTCGGGTGTCCTGGACCCCTTCCCACCACACCTTAATAGCTAACAGTCAGCCATTAAGTACTTACGTTGCATTGCTGCACAAAGTGCCATCCGCCGTGTCACCACAGCCCTCTGGGGTGTATGAAATGACCGCGGTCACTGATGAGAACACGGAGGCACAGAGAAATTACGTAGCTGGCCTACGGTCACACGGCTGAGGAGTGGCCAATTTTGGCTCCAGCTGAGTGTGGCAGCGGCCCTTGACCAGAGGCCGGGTCACCCACCCAGGTGACACAGAGATCTTGTAAATGCTATGCCTCCCCACTCCCAGTCTTTACGCTTCCCGGCACCTGCGTTTTGCACCCAGACCCCTGTGGGCTCTGTCCAGATGGCTCATGCCCTTTTCCCTTCCCCTCCTCAGCCCCCAGTGCCTGGTGCTCACGGGGCCCCCCAACTTCCGCCCAGCCCTGGTTGACTTTGTGGGCACCTTCACCCGGAACCTCAGCCTGATGGTCTGTGGCCACGTGCTCATTGTGAGTGGCCCCTGCAGGTGGGGTGGGCACGTACCCTTGGAGGAGCCCCTGGGCATGAAGTCCATACTTGGAAGGGTGGCAGGCAGCGTTGGGGGCCGTGGGGGATGGAAGGGCTGTGGAGAAGCAAAGCCTACCGGACCCTGCTGTGGGCCTGGTTCTCTTCCCTCCCCTGTTCCAGTCACCAGCTTCTCCCCACTGCCCTACCTCTCACCTCTTGCCTCCATTTTCCTTCCCCCACCCTGCTCCCTCCTTCCCTTCTCTTCTTTCCCTCCCCTAACTCCATATGGGAGAATGGGCACCTCTGGGTGTGGCTGAGCCCATGGGGCAGCCTCCAGGGAGGAGAGGGGCTGCATCTCATTCAGGCCAGAGGGTGAAGGAAGGAGCCCCTGAGGTCACCTGCTCCCCCCACCTGCAGGGACCCCGCAAACAGAGGATGCCTGAGCTCCGGCTCATTGCCAGTGGGCACACCAAGTGGCTGAACAAGAGGAAGATCAAGGCCTTCTACTCAGACGTCATTGCCGAGGACCTCCGTAGTGGTGTACAGATTCTCATGCAGGTGCCGTGGCTTGGGTGGGACAACGCGGAAGGCAGGATGTCCTAAGGGGCTAGTTGAAGCTCCTACTCCCACAGGAGTCTCCTACCTTCCTCACCTTTCCAGATAAGCTAATTTGGGGCACTTTCTCAGGGTCCCCAGGGCCTAGGGGAAACTGACCTGGAAGTCTGTGGGGATGGTGGGAGCTTGAGCCGTCCTTGTTTTTCTTTTCTGATATAATTTACAGACAGCGAAGTGAAAAAGTATTAAGTGTATAGCCTGATAAATGTTTACGTAAGCAGATACCACCCAGCGGTATGATGCCACCGCTCAGACCAAGTTCCGGAATGTTCTACCAGGCCATTCATTTTACTGCTCAGGATTCTCATCTGTAAAACGGGATAAAATAATAGGTGTTAACTCTGAGTCAACATTGGGAGTCCTTTCTAATAATTCTAAATATTTCTCACGATTTTTTAAAATTTTTTTTTTCAACGTTTATTTATTTTAAGTTGAGAGAGAGGAAGACAGAGCATGTGAGCGGGGGAGGAGCAGAGAGGGGAGACACAGAGAATGAGGAAACAGGCTCCAGGCTCTGAGCCATCAGCCCAGACCTTGGCAGGCACTCGAACTCCAGGACCGAATAAATTGACCTGGCTGGACTGGCTGCTTTCCCGACTTCCTCGCTACTGAAGCCTTCTCCTGATTTTAAAAAAAAAGAACTCTCATAGGATCTTTTTTTTTGGGGTGGGGGGGGGGGGGGGGGGGGGGTATGAAAATATTTTGAGAATAGATAGCAGTGATGTTTGCACAACATTCTGAACTATCAACAATTACAATTCTATACCCTTTAAAATGGTTAATTTTGTGTTATGTAAATTTTACGTCAAAAATTTTTTTTTTTTTCAGCATTTATTTTGGGACAGAGAGAGGAGACAGAGCATGGAAGCAGGCGAGGTGCAGAGAGAGGGAGAACACAGAGGAGGCTCAGCAGAAACAGGCTGTGACAGGCCATCAACCCAAACCTAATACATGAGGCTCGAAGAACTGAAGACGAGAGATCAGTGACCTGGCTGAAGTCAGACTTAACCGACTAAAATACCAGGCGCCCCTACATTTTATTTTTGTTGTTATTTATTTGTTATTTATTTATTCCTTTATTTTTACAGAGGCAGGAAGCAGGCATAGATCCCCACTACCACAAATTATGCAGTCGAGTTTCCCACATTTGGGGATTTTTTTTTTTTTTACATTTTTAAACACTGAAAAAAGAAATACAAAAGATGGGCAGGTGAGATGGCCTGGGGATACTCTAAAGCTTGCCATCCAAATTCAAGTCACTTGTGACGAGGAATAATTTGCTGGAGAAGCAGGAACTGGAATAATGCAGAGCTAATGGGGACGGTGCGGTGATCGTAGCTTCTGGTTGTCACGTCACCTTTCTCGCAGGTGTGTCCAGACAGGCAGGACCCTGAACTGGCAGGATGGGATTTCTGAGCCCTCGCCACCTGGCAAAGAGGGCAGTGGGGGCTGAGAGAGCCCCACCCTCGTCACAGCACAGAGCCCCTGTGGGGCACGAGGCCTGGTCCCTCACCCCAACCCCCTACCCCTTGCAGGCCACAGGTCTCGGGAGAATGAAGCCCAACATTCTGGTGATTGGATTCAAGAAGAACTGGCAGTCGGCTCACCCGGCCACAGTGGAGGACTACATTGGCATCCTGCAGTGAGTGAGGGCACGAGGGAGGCAGGGCCTGGGGTCTCTTGATTTGCGCCTTGGGAGTTTCCTGGGCCTTGGGAAGCAGTGGGTGTTAGAAGAAGGCGGTTCAAAGCTCAGGAAGAAACAGACCCGCTGAGGGCTCGCCACTCTGGGGCACGGACACCAAGATGGGCAGGGGCAGGCAGGGAACACAGAGAAGGGGACCGGCCGGGTGTGGGACGATGGGGAGCGAGCTGGAGTGAGCAGCTGTCACTTGGCTGCAGCCAGCCGTGCCCAGGCAGAAATGTGGGCCTGGGCCCAGTGTTGCCCAGATCTTCTGGTTTTTCAGAGAAGTTGAAAATGTGGGTTTTTAGGTGAAAACCTTGTGCTCGCCTGTGGGCTACAGAAGGCCTCCCGGGAGGCGACCATGTGGGGACTCCCTGGGGACTTCAGGGTGAACTCCGAACCTTTTCTCCTTCAGCTCTTGCTGCGCAATGGCCAGCAAATGCCTGCCTGGGTTGCTTTTCTGTGTTGATGCGGCATAGAGAGGCAGTGTGTAGTAGCATTTCCAGAACAAAGGCTGAGCGCTGGGTCCCTGGGACCTGCTTCCGGGTCTGCCGTGAACCAGCTGCCTGACTCTGAGCCATGCACCTGAGCCACCACGGACACAGTCACAGCAGGAAGTGGTGGGATGTCTGTTCAGCACCCCACCCCCCAGCTTCGGCACTCCAAGACCCCGAAATGCTGGGGCCTGAGAAGCCCCTGTCCCAGAGATGTGTAACTGACAGGACCCATGGGGGCAATGCGTGGCTCATCAGATCAAGCCCTACTGGTGGTCTCCGGGGCCCTCTGTCAACCGGGCAGTAAATCCACTTCCGGGGTAGGAGTCTTCTAGACATTCCACATAGGCAGGCTATTGGCTGCCTTCCTGAGCAAGGCCATTCCTGTGTCTGTGCCTGCCCTCAGGGTTCTGTCTCAGCCATTTGACTCCAGACCCAGCTGGCCACTTCCTTAGCGTGCAATCATGGGCAAGTTATTCCCCAAAACTCAAGTTTTGGATCTATAAGATGGGGCTAGCAATTCCCATGCCCACCTCTGTTGGCAGGTTGTGCAGATTATCCAAATGTATCAGGAGGACAGAGCCTGCTTCAAAGACTGGCCTGACTTGGCTTCCCTCTGAGTACAGGGTTCACAGCATCCATAGTGCCACAGATCATAGAGCCAGAGGGGTCCTGGGGGGCTCTCCGGTTCCACTTGCGTGTCACAGAGAGGGGGAGACGAGGCCCAGAGAAGAGGGGCATGGTGGAAGGCAAGGCCAACTCTAGACATCTGGTCTCCTGGGGGCTGGGGGCTGAGGGCTGGGACCGAGAGGAACCTGACCCCACCTCTCCTCCCAGCGATGCTTTTGATTTCAACTACGGTGTGTGTGTCATGAGGATGCGTGAGGGGCTCAACGTCTCGGAAGTGATGCAGGCACACAGTGAGTACACGCCCCACCTATTGGCATGCCTGTCAAAAGCCAGAACAGGAGCCCAGAAAGTTCTAGAACCCGATTTTTTTTAAGTGGTAGAGGGAAGAGAGAGAGAAGTTAGTAAGGAATAGAAGCTCATATATTCATAAAAAGTTAGCTTTTGATGGCCTCTTAGAACTCATCAGGTTTCCAAATGAAGAAACTGAGGCCCAGAAAAGAGACGTGATCAGCTCAAGGCCACACTTCCAGCTGGGTGCAGAAATGCGACTGGAACTCAGGGCTCCCCAATCACTATCAGGGTTTTTGCAACCAGATGAGATAAAGAGGATCTAAGAGGAGAAAGAAAAAGAGGGAAGAAAGGAGAATCCCCAGATAAAGACACTGGAATATGAAAACACACAGAGAAAGGCCACGGAGACGGGACATCTCCGAGACCATCTTTGGGGCACCGAGGAGGGATGTGTTTTACGTTTAGTCATGCGGGAATCTGCAGACCCTGAATTAGTCATATTTGCAGGGCTGAAAGAAATAATATATGATCTAGAAAATAAGTGGGGGCGGCACAGGGGGAGCTGACAGGTACAGATGCTACAGTTCTGGCTGGTGGGGACCGGAGCGTGCTGACCCATGTCACCCTGTGCAGACAGCATGCCTGGCACACAGCGGCTGTGCAATGAATATTGATGCAACCAGTATTTACAGAACAGCAGCCCGTGCTCCTGACAGACGTTGTGCTAGGCGCTAGGGGTACTGCAGGGGTAAAACAAAGTCTGCCCCTGGGAAGCTGCTGTTCCCATAGAAAGTGCAGTGGACCCACAAGTCATTTTAGACAGTGACGCCGACACAGGACACGTGGTCCGAAAGGCCTCTCAGAGGAGGGGGACTTTGCTGAGAAGGGGAGATGCTGTGAGGGCTCCTGGCTCAGGGGCAGGGGCCAGGTCAGTGGAAGGTGAGGAGTCAGGACTTTCTAGTATAAGGGGGAGCCTGGAAGTGCCCTAGGCAAGGAGAGCCTGGGAACAAAACTGTCCCCTCTCTTGCAGTTAACCCAGTGTTTGACCCAGTGTTTGACCCAGCGGAGGACAGCAAAGAAGCCGGCACCAGCGGGGCCAGGCCATCTGTCTCAGGCACACGTCAGTCCCCACCCCACTCAAGGCGCCCTCACCTCGTGGGGCAGCTAGTGGGGGGCCATGAGGGAAACTGGTCAAGGGCAGGAGGTGCTCGAGACCCTTGGGGATGGGTAACTGGGGGCCAGAGCAGGTGGGCTGGGGCAGTATTCAACATCACAGCCCTCTTTGGGAATTCAGTATCCTGACATTGTGGGGACCCACCCAGCTGGCTCTGCAGCCCATGTCCGACCCCTCCAAAGGCACCTGGCCACACTCAGATGTCAGGGAGGAGAGGAGTAGGCTTCTCCTTCAGTCCTTTCCCACTGATGCTCTGGGAGGCAGGGGAACAGCACAGGAGCTGGGGGCATCCGGTGGGCATTTGCGAGGGGCACAGGGTTTTTTTTAAGAGAATGGTCCCTAGTCTCCAATGCCCACCAGAATCCTGGGAGAGAGATGCTAGGAGCAAGGGAGGGGCACGTCCTAGCACTGCATGTCTGGGACTGCCGCTCCTGGTCCACCTGCCTGACAATCGGGTATGAGGGTCTCACTGTCAGGAGAGCCATTGGTGGTGATCTGGGCCAGTCCCCACCATGCATGCCCTGAGCAGAGTGCTTCTGGCCGCTGTGTGCGTGGCCCGGGTGACAGCGAGCCCACCTCACAGGGCAGGTGGCTCTGTTTTCAGACAGACGCAGGCATTTGAATGTGCACTGCTCTGAGGTGACCTGCCCCTGTGCTCCTGCAGTGGACCCTGAGGCCCTGGTACGGGAGGAGCAGGCCAGCACCATCTTCCAGTCTGAGCAGGGCAAGAAGACCATAGACATCTACTGGCTATTTGACGACGGAGGTCAGTGCCCCCCTGGACACCAGGTCTCCCCAAGGCTGTCTTCCCTACATGGCCTACCCTTCCTGGCCACTCTGGACAAGGTTTCTAGAGGGACCCCGGGGCCCAGAAAAGGGGAATAGGGACCTTCGGGCCCACCTCTGGGCTTGGGGGAGCCTGGCCACGCCCGTCTCTTGGCCCCCAGTGTTTCAGCTGTAAAATGGAGCACTTTATAGGAGGAGCTGAGTTTGGCACGGGATGGAATGTTCAGACAAGCTGGGCCTTAGGAGCCACGGGCACCCGCCATAACTGGGGGAGATGGGCCAATGCACAGAAAAGCTGTAGGAATGTTCTTCTGTTCCCAAAGAAATATACCCTCTCCCATTTTTCTTAAGATACATGCCTCTCAGCTTTATTATTCCATGTAGACAGAAATAGGGCCCCAGGTAGACAGAAAATGTTCCCGCTCCAGTAGTATGTATCCTGTTGGTGAAAGTTAATATAGAGAGAACGCTTACCCTTGCTTGACGTTAAGTGCTTTCCCTGGGCTAACCTAATGCAATCCCTAGGTAGGAAGTTGTTTGAGACTCCTTTACAAATAAGGAAACTGAGACATAGAGTGGTGACGTAATTTGTCCAGG